TAGAGACTGTAACTCCTCCTGTCTGTCCTCTAGGACGTCCGTGCCAAGAGCACACTCACCCCCGACGGACGGAGGACAGACAGACGCAGACTCAGCAACAAGACCAGCAGCGTAGTCGAGACGACAGCGAGCAGCAAAGTCAACGAGCTCAGCGACTAGAGCAGACGCAGCAGTGGACTCAAAAGAGGGGTCAGTGACGACAGTAGCAAGCAGACGCGTGACAGTAGGACTGGCAGCGCGAAGAGAGTCCGACTCAGGGTCGGCAAGCGCAGGAAGAGAGGACTCAGGAGGAGAAGGCAAAGGGGCACGCAGAGGAGCAGTGGACGGACGCAGAGACATCCGGTGCGTGCCAGGGACAGGAGGAGGACGCTGACGCGAACCGCGACCACTAGCGCGAGTAGCACGAACAGGCGACGCGGGACGAGACGCAGGCTCACGACGCTCAGCAAGACCTCCAGTAGGACCAGTGTAAGGAGAGGGAGCAGGCAGAGGAGAGGAAGGCTCCAACAGTGACTGCGACTGGACAGGCTGTGGACACTCTACCGAAGGAGAAAGACCAAGAACCTGCTGTAGGAGCGGAACGAAGTACGGCCGAGGCCGCGCGGCAGCTCCAGACTCAGCAGGGACAGCACCAGCACCCTGAGCGACAGCACCAGCGCCACCAACACCTCCAGCGGCAGGACCTCCAGCAGCACCAGCAGCAGAACCACCGCCAGGACAGACAGCAGTAGTCTCAGCACCAACACCCTCAGCAGCTCCAGCTCCAGTAGGACCCGCAGGCCCAGCAGCTCCGGGACCGGCAGCACCAGCACCCTTGACGGTCGACGAAGCTGCAGCTCCAGCAGTACGCCTCCAGCGGCGAGCAAACCACTCACGCAGCTCCTGTGGAGAGAGGGGCTCCCGGCGAGACGCAGCAGCAGGAGAAACCCCAGGCTCAGCAGCTCCAGACTCAGCACCCCCAGGCACAGCCGCTCCAGACTCAGCACCTCCAGGCTCAGCAGCTCCAGACTCAGCACCCCCAGACTCAGTAGCTCCAGCTCCAGTAGGACCCGCAGGCCCAGCAGCTCCGGAACCGGCAGCACCCTCAGCAGGCGAAGAAGCTCGAGCTCCAGCAGCACGCCTCCAGCGGCGAGCAAACCACTCGCGCAGCTCCTGTGGAGAGAGCGGCTCCCGCCGAGACGGAAGAACCGGAGAGCCCCCAGGTCCAGCAGGCGCAGGCTCCGCACCTCCAGGCCCAGCACCCCCAGGCTCAGCAGCTCCTGACGTAGCACCCTCCGGCTCAGCACCCCCCGGCTCAGCACCCCCAGACTCAGCACCCCCCGGCCTCGCACCCCCAGGCTCAGCACCCCCAGGCTCAGCACCCCCAGCAGCAGCACCCCCAGGCTCAGCACCCGCAGCAGGACCAGACTCAGCAGCAACCTCGACTGGCTCGACCGTGTCTACCTGGGACACACCCGAAGGGGCAGGAACCTGAGGGGGGAGGGGGTCTACCGGGGGGGGAACTGGTACCACGAAGTCCGGTGGGGGGGGAAGGGAAGGAGTACGGTAGGGGAAGAGGCGGTAGAAGGGGACTGACTCGTCGAACGTGACGTCCTGGGAGGACAGAACACGACGAGAGGAGGGGTGGTAGAACTGCCACCCTGGAGCGTCAGGGGGGAAGCCAAGGAAGACACAGGGAGCAGCACGGGGGGACAGCTTGTCCGCAGACAAGTCGCGGACAAACGCCCGAGATCCCCAGACACGGAACGCAGACGCATCGCCGACCTTCCCCGTCCACAGTAACACTGGGGACATCGCGGGCCGAGAGACCCTGGGGTGAAGGTTGAGCTGATGCGCCGCGTACCGAACCGCAAACGGCCACAGAAAATGGGGGGCAGCCGCATGCATCATGGACGTACGAGCGACATCCATGACCATGCCAATGCGGCGCTCAGCAATCCCATTTTGCTGTGGAGAGTCCGGAAGCGTAAAGGTCTGGCGGATCCCCTGTGCACGACAGTAGTCTCGCAGAAGGCGAGAGGAGAACTCCCCACCTCGGTCAGAGTGCAGACGCAGAACAGGAAAGTCCGAGCCGAAGCTCCTCCTGAGCTGGAGACGAGCCTCGCGGATCCAGTCGATCAGCACCTCAGTGACAGCACCCTTGCTGCGCAAGGGGAAGACTGAGGTGTAACGCGAGTAGTCGTCAACCACCAACAGGAAGTAGCGCTCGTGACCCTGCCCACGGACGGGGGCCGGGCCCCACACGTCCATGTGAAGCGTCTGCAGAGGAGCCTCTGTCGGGGGAAACTGGGAGGAGTGAGGAGCAGCCCTGAGGCGCCCCTCGACACAGGGGACACAGGAAGGTCCTGGTCCCGAAGGAAGGGGAGGGAGAGACTGGGGAAGACCAGAGACAAGGACACGGGAAGCCATGCCCCGAAGACGGGGCAAGGAGGGGTGGCCTAGACGGTGGTGCCACAGAAGAGTCTCGTGAGACAGGAGGCGACACGAACAGGGGGCAGACTCAGGACCAGACCTGGACGCAGCAGCAAACACCTGACCCGACGCTGCTACCTGACCGGACGCGGGGACAGGAGGAGACTCAGTGGTCAGGGTGTAGAGGCTCGACCCCGGCCGACGCGAGAACGTGGCCAGGTGCCGGCCTGTGCGTGCGTCCGTGCAGTGGGTCACCCGCTGACTCGCAGGAGTGAACTTGTGAACCCCCGCATCCTGTAGGTCTGCACCACTCACCAAGTTCGACGAGAACGAGGGGAGGTACAGGCCAGACAGGGTGCCCGAGGGGGCAGCCGGACACGGGAGGACAGTGGAGAAGTGAGCGAGGACAGGACCCCCAGAGGGGTCAGCCAGGGAGACTGCAACCGGCCGACCAAGCGGCGTGAGTGTGGTGCGGTCCCGAAAGAAGGAGCGAGAAGCCCCAGAGTCAAGTGTAAAGGTGAGGGAGGCCGAAGCCAACGCGGTACCTGAGAGCGCAGCCTCACCCGCACCTGAGGAAGCAGACTCACTAGCACCTAGAGCAGCAGCCGCACCTGTACCTGGAGCAGGAGACTCACTAGCACCCAGAGCAGCAGCCTCACCAGTAGCTAGAGCAGCAGGTCCTATACCTGGGTCAGGCGGGACGCACAGGTGACCGGCACGGTCAGCACTAGTAGGCAATGCATACATGGCAGTGAGAATAGCATCATAGTCAAGAGCATATATATCTACCCTCTGCCTAAGCAACTCCACCCAGTCGGGAAGCTCAGCCTCGTCGCCAAACACGGTACGCCAGGCGTCGCTCAGACGGGCGAAGCAGCGGGACGGTGTATGACTACGTGTCCCACAAGGCTGACCAGTCCGAGTACCAGTGCGAATCACGTAAGAGCAGCGAACAGCACTGAGAGACCCTCCACTCTGAGCGTACCACTCACGAAGCTGGCGAGGCGTGAGAGACACGCGAGAGGGTCGCGGGAGCTGCATCTGGCCGCCACCACGAGTAGAAGCAGCAGGAGTGGTAGTAGGAGTAGCGTCGCCACCCCTACAGCCCCAACCAGCGTACCACTCACGCAGCTGCTGGGGCGTGAGGGACTCACGCCGGCGTCGCTGGGGCTGCATTTGGCTCCGCAAGTAGAAGCAGGAGCAGGACTAGCAGCAGGGAGGCAGGCAGCCAGGCAAGCCAAAAGGCAGGCAGGCAGGCAAGCAGGCGACGCGCAGCGTGCTAGCAGGGCAAGAGCTCACCAGTGGTGGGAAGAGTAGGCTCGGCGACTCAGCGGCTCGGCAGCTCGGCGGCTCGGCGGCTCGGGCGACTCGGGCGGCTCGGCGGCAAGGCGGCTCGGCAGCAACTGCAGCTCAGCAGCTCGGTGACTCGGCGGCTCGGCAGCAGGGCGGCTCGGCAGCAACTGCAGCTCAGCAGCTCAGCGACCCGGCGGCTCGGCGGCAGGGCGGCTCGGCTGCTGGGCGGCTCGGGTGCAGGGCGGCTCGGCGGTGGGGCGGCTCGGCTGCTGCAGGTGAGCGGCTCGGCTGCTGCAGTGGGAGATGAAGGAGGAGGAGAAGCAGGGGAGGCCACACACCTGCCACCCCTCTGCTGGCCTCTCAGGTCCGCAAGCGGCCCCCTCAGGTCGCCTCGACAGGCGACGGGAAAAGGGGGGGTGGGTGGTGGGGGGCCGGTAGGTGCAGCGGCGGGGCCAGCAGGTGCAGTTGCAGTTGCGGGGCCGGTAGAAGGGGACGGCAGGAGCCGTCAGGAGGGGACGGCGGGGCCGTCAGGAAGGGACGGCGGGGCCGTCACGAAGGGACGGCGGGGCCGTCAGGAGGTGACCGGGCCGCGACGGGGGCAGGCGGCGGGGCCGCGTAAAGGCCTGGGCGGGGCCGCGACAGAGCCGTCGGCGGGGCCGCGTGAAAGCCGGGGCGGGGCCGCGTAGAAGCCGGGGCGGGGCCGCGCGAGAGCAGGCGGCGGGGCCGCGAAGGAGCCGCGGCGGGGCCGCGTGAGAGCAGGCGGCGGGGCCGCGTAAGGGCCTGGGCGGGGCCGCGACAAAGCCGTCGGCGGGGCCGCGTGAAAGCCGGGGCGGGGCCGCGTAGAAGCCGGGGCGGGGCCGCGCGAGAGCAGGCGGCGGGGCCGCGAAGGAGCCGGGGCGGGGCCGCGTGAGAGCAGGCGGCGGGGCCGCGTAAAGGCCGGGGCGGGGCCGCGACAGAGCCTGCTGCGGGGCCGCGTGAGAGCCGACGACGGGGCCGCGTAAGGGCCGGCGGCGGGGCCCCGTCAGAGAGGGCGGCGGGGCCGCGTCAGTGAAGGCGGCGGGGCCGCAGGGGAAATGGCGACCCGAGGGGTCGCTAAAAAAAGATCGCGCCTCGGGGGGCGCTTCGGTGGGCCCAAAAAAAAAAACGGTCCGTAGAAGGACCCGCTCTATACCATGTGAGAATAAGCGAACAGGAATGGATGAACTAGAAGTGAAAAGAGTACAAGTAGTAAACCCTAGAATTGTGTACCCCCTATAGGCTAACCCACTGTAGCCTACACAAGCATAACATATATAATGTTTGACACTAGCGGCCCCGTCGCCGCCCCTATCGGCCCCGTCGCCGACCCTAGCGGCCCCCTCGCCGCCCTTCACAGCCCCCCTTCAGCTGCCAAGTGGCCGAACCACCGAGCCGCCGAGCCGCCCAGCCGCCCAGCAGCCGCGCCGCCCAGCAGCCGAGCCGCCCAGCAGCCGAGTCGCCCAGCAGCCGAGCCGCCCAGCAGCCGAGCCGCCCAGCAGCCGAGCCGCCCAGCAGCCGAGCCGCCCAGCAGCCGAGCCGCCCAACAGCCGAGCCGCCCAGCAGCCGACCCCAACCAGCCAAGCCGCCCAGCTGCCGAGCCGCCGAGCCGCCGTCGAGCCGCTACTATTCCTACCAGCGTGCACCCGCCCTTCCCACCCGGACTGGTGAGAGCACTCCCTGTTAGACCACTCCTATCATGGCTACCCCCAGTGTCCTTACCTTTGATGCTGAGGGTCGTGCTATTGACTTTGAGGTCTGGGTCGATGACCTCCAGCTCTTCCTACAGTGCGATAGGGCAGATGGACTCTCCCTGTTTGATCTCACCTCTAGTGCCTCTCCTGCCCCGCCTGCTACTGCTTACAGCACTGTTTGCTCACAGTGGGCCACACGCGATGTTGCTGCCCGTCTTGCTGTGCGTCGCCACTTACCGACCGTTGAGCTTGCGCACTTTAGTCAGTACAAGAGTGCTAAGACCTTGTACGACGCTGTAGTTGCACACTACTCTTCCCCTGCCACTGCTGCTCTTAGCCGCCTCATGCTGCCATACCTGTTTCCTGACTTTGCTGCCTTTCCCACAGTCGCTGACCTCATTACGCACCTTTGCACTAGTGACACTCGCTACCGCGCTGTGCTTCCTGCTGAGTTCTGTGCCAAGAACCCTCCCCCCATGTACATCACCCTCTACTACATAGTCACCCGACTCCCTGACTCCCTTCGCTTAGTCAGGGACTACTTCCTCTCACTTTGCCCCACCACACTCACCGTTGACCTCCTCGAGGAGCGCCTCCTAGCAGCAGAAAAGAGCATAGTCGCTATAGGAGCCTCTCGTGGTGACCCTCGTACCCCCGTCTTTGAGAGGTGTTCCCCCTCCCCCCTCTTGCCCTCTGTTGCTTCTGCTGCTGTGGCCGACCTCGTTGGTTTCGAGTCAGTCGGCGCTGCGTCTGCCCCTAGCGAGAGACGCCGCACAGGCAAGGGCAAGGGGGGCAAGGGCGCTGGAGGGGCTGGCGGGGGCGGTTGAGGTGGCGGTGGAGTCAGTGGAGGGGGTGGGTGTCACAGGATCGAATTCTCAATCGAAACTTGTCACTAAAACTGAATACAAGGCCTATTTATACTCGGAAAGTACAAGGATAAACGAGATAAAACGAACCTTCGGGAACACGCCCTTCCCGATACTATAATCACAAGTGCGCACAAGCACGCAAGGCTATTGGCACTTGGGATTACGCCCAGATTACACCGTATACACTACTGTCGGCGTTGTCGGTGCCGTATAATAGGTATGTCGGTGGGAAAAGTAGGAAATAAGAGAAATAAATAGAAGGCTCTAGAAAATAGAATAGTAGGCCGATTGAGATGAGATAAAGACCAAAATAAAGAGGAGAAAAGGGAGAATAGGATAACGGAAAAATATAATAGTGAGAAAATATTATAACGGGGACGTCCTCTCACACTTCCCCCCCTCAAAGCTGGGTGGTAGAAGTAACACCCTGCTTTACAAGGTAGTCCTGGAGAGGACGGCGGGCGTTATCCATGTCGTGTTCAGGTACCCAGGTATCCTCGGAAGGATCATAGCCTTTCCAACGAATCAAGAGCTCCAAGGTGCCGTTACGTCGTCGTCGGTGCGCCAGAACGGCTTCGACTTCGTACTCGGGTTCCCCATTAACGATCACTGGCAGTGGCGGCGGCGGCTGGCGACCTTTGAAGACCGTGTTTGGGTCCCAATAGGGCTTGAGAAGTTGAACATGGAAGGCATTGTGAATTCTCCAGGTAGCTGGTAAACGCAAGCGGATGGTTACTGGAGTGACCTGCGCCTCGACGAGAAAAGGTCCGCAGAAGCGAGGTCGGAGCTTAGACGGAAGATGGCTAATGTCGAGATTGCGTGTATCCAGAAGCACTTGATCGCCAATCTTGATGGAATGATCGTTGTGACTCCGATCAGCGAGCTTCTTTTGTTGCTGCTGGATAGTCAGAAGACGTTTATGCGTGCGCTCCCACAATTGGTGCATAGTGGAAATGAAGTCATGTGCGGGTTGCACCGTGGCGGGTACTGTTGGTTTCTGAGGCGTGAGTGGGTTGCGACCGTAACAGAGGAAGAAAGAAGTTTGCCCTATTGCGGCGTGCGTGGCGTTGTTATACGCAAACTCGAGAACCGGCAGATGTGCATCCCATGTAGAGATATCGTCCTTACACGCTGCTCGCAGAAGCTGTTCGACAATCTGGTTGAGGCGCTCTGTCTGACCATCCGTTTGGGGATGATAGGCTGATGACATGGCGAGTTTGGTCCCCATGAGCGACATAAGCTCCTTCCAGAACTTACTCGTGAATTTCGGGTCTCTGTCGGAGATCAGCGTGGTTGGAATGCCATGTTGCGAGATGACGTAGCGGAAGAATAATTGCGCTGTCTCCTCGATGCGAGCCGTTGAGTGTGTCGGAATGAAGTGTCCCATTTTGGAGAATTTGTCGATGACGACTAGAATGGCGTCGTAACCAGCTTTGGTAGGTGGTAACCCGGTGATGAAGTCGAGGCTAACCACTTGCCAAGGCTGTTCAGGGACTGGAAGAGGCTGTAGTAACCCTGCTTTCTTCTGTTTGCTGCTCTTCATCCGTTGGCATGTGTCGCACGAGGTGACGAATTTGTGTACGTCATCCGCCATGTGGGGCTAATAATAATGCTTCGCAATACCGGCAAGCGTCTTGTTACTACCGAAGTGGCCCGCGTAGAGAACATCATGATATTCTTCGAGCAGTAATTGGCGTAAGGGAGGGTAATTAGGTACCCATATTTTTGTTGAGCCCTTGCGGTATGCGATGTCTTGATCCCATTGTAGAAGATGGCGCTTTTCTGCTACAGAGACTTCGGGGTCGATGGTGTATCCATGCGTGAAGAGTCCCTTCAAAAGGGGGTTCATGCCATCGACTTGTAGGGCGGCAACGTGTGCAGGGTGACTCAGTGCGTCTGCCTTGTTCTTGTGCCCCGGCTTATACACGATGTCGTAATGGAAGTGGGTTTCGAGAAAGTCAATCCACCGGACCTGTCGCCTGGAGAGTGTTGGTTGGGTCTTCAGGTACTTGAGGCTGCAGTGGTCGGTGTAGACGGTCGTTTTTCTTCCTTCGAGATAACACCTCCATGCCTTAAATGCGTTGACGATGGCGAGGGCCTCTTTGTCATGGATGGGGTAATTGAGTTCTGCCCCGTGAAGTTTTTTACTGAGGTATGCAATGGGTTGCACTCCCTTCCCTTGATCCTGCATGAGTACTGCGTCCACTGCTTGATCGCTCGCATCGGCCTCGATGACATAGTCAAGTTTAGGGTCTGGCAGGATAAGGACAGGTGCGGACGTGAGTGCGGTTTTAAGTTGTTCCACGGCTTCCTGGTGCTTCGCCTCCCATTGATATGGTGTATTCTTCTTCAGCAGGTTCGTTAATGGTGCGGCAATCTTGGCGTAGTTCGGTACGAACCGGTTGTAGTAGTTGGCGAATCCAAGGAACTGTTGTAACTCCTTCACGTTCTCAGGGGTCTTCCACGTTCGCACTGCTTCGATCTTCTTAGGATCCACGTGAACTCCTTGAGCGCTCACCATATGTCCAAGGAACTGGACTATTTTCAACGCAAACTTGCTCTTGGATAGTTTCACGTAGAAGCGTTCTCGTCGAAGAATTTCAAACACCCGTTGCAGATGCTCAACGTGCTTCTTCATGTCTTTCGAGTAGATCAGGATATCGTCCAAATATACCACCACGCACTCGTCCAGAAGGGGCCGAAGGATGTGGTTCATTTCTGCCTGAAATGTGGCTGGTGCGTTAGTGAGTCCGAATGGCATTACGAGATACTCGTATGACCCATACCGAGTTCGAAAGGCGGTTTTGTGGATAGAGTTGTCCGCCATACGAATTTGCCAGTATCCCGATCTAAGGTCGAGCTTGGAGAATACCGTAGCACCGCGAAGTTGATCGAGTAAGTCGTCGATCCGTGGTATCGGGTATTTATTTTTTACAGTCTGCTTGTTCAAGGCTCGGTAGTCGATGCACATTCGCAGACTTCCGTCTGGCTTCGGAGTGAAGAGAACTGGAGCTCCGTACGGTGAAGTCGAAGGTCGAATCAGCCCTTTCTGCAGGAGATACTCTATTTGTTTTTTCATATCGGCAAGCTCTGTCGGGCTCAGCCGGTATGGTGCTCGGAATGTTGGCTTGGACCCCGGCTCTTCTACGATCTCGTGTTGATGTGTCCGGTATGGCGGTAGTTGATCAGGTAAATCGTCGGGGAGGACGTCCTGGAACTCTTCAAGAATTTTCTTGACTGCTGGAGGAAGTTCTTGGGTCTGCTTCTCTCCGTTGTTTGCCTCGTTGACTATCGCCATGAATCCCGCCGTGGTCCGTTTGACGTCCTTTTCAAAGCGTGCGAGTGTCTCGACTGGAATATTTCCCGTGTCATCCCATTTGGGAAGGCTGATTTTCCTCCCGTTGTTGTTGATGTTGGCCGTCCGGTTAACCCAGTTGATCTCGGGGTTGAACTTTTTAAGAAAGTCTCTCCCGAAGATTACGTCGAGTCCTTTGATATTTGTGACGGGGAGAGCAGGCTTCCATCGAAGGGGTCCAATCTGGAGTAGCAACCGTGTTTCCCCGTAGATAGGTAGCTTACTGCCATCCACCATCGTTGCAGAGAAGCTTGAGGACTTGATGTCACCTCCAAGTCGATCGATTGCCTTTTTGTCATAGACGCTGTGCGACGCCCCGCTGTCCACGAGTGCTTGGAGGCGCTGTCCGTTGCAGATCACCTCGAGCAGGAGTGGTGAGCGTTGCTCGGAGTACCCAAAAATAGTCTCATTAATAAGATCATAGGGTACATCCCAATATTCAGTACACACCGTGGTTCCACTGTTTTCTCCTGGACAACTAGCTGGCCTGGGCTGCGTGGAGAAAGGCTCCTCTCCAACGCCAGGAGTAGAGGTAGTAACCGTACAGGTTGACCCTGAGGGGGTGGATCCGGTCGACGCCTGCGATCCACTGGATGCATCCTGGAGGGGTTTTCGGAGTTTCTGCAGCTTCTTTTGAACTCCCAGCTGCCTCTTCAGCTGCTTCAGCTCCATAGACTTCTTCCCTGGGGAGTGGAGAGTCGTCTTGGGCTGGTTCCGGGAGAGGACGTTGACGCCGTGAAAAGGTCTACTCCTTTCCACACTCCTTATTTTTTTCCCCAGCTCCGTAGGCACCGGTACCACTTCTTTAATTGTCTGCTTCCTCTGGAGTTCTTCCCGGAATTTGTTTATGGCTCCGGACCCGCGAAAATCGCCAGTCTTCATTAAAACATCTTTGAAAGATAACCTTAACGAATTCTGTTTTTTTTCGGGGTCGAATTGGAGAGTTCCCGTCTTGGTCGAGTCTGTTTTCGCGGAGGTTTTCTTTTCTTCGGCGAATTCCTCTGACAAATTTCGGTCAAGGGGCTTGGGATTTCGCCCTTGATTCTCCAAATCTCGCGCCCAATGCTGTCCTTCAATTTCGATTCGGTCCACATTGCGCTGACGCTTTCGGATCTGCTTTTCCTCGCCAGCCCGATCCGCAATCACTGGCGAGATCCGTTTTTTGACTTTTTGTCTTTAGTTTCGCCACTCCCACGAGCTCGGAATGCCGCACGTGCTGATTTCATGTGAAAACAGTCGACAATCCGATGTCCGTTTCCGCCGCAAAATTCACAAAACGTTTTGTTTTTTGCAGGTCGTGAATTCGAGTCGAATTTGTCGACTTCCATGGGGTCGGCGAACGTGGTTGAAGCCGAGCGATCCCCTTGTTGTGATCCGACGACGTGGGGCCGTCGTGTTCCGGAGTTGACCAAGTCAAAACGCTCCGCGGCCGATACGATTTTGCTGTAGCTGCTACAATTCGCTGCTGCAACCTGGCGCCGAATGTCGGTTTTCAGCCCCGCGATGTAGGACTGATTTTTTTCGCCCTCGGTAATGTCGGGAATGCGATTATAAAATTCCTCCATCTGCTGCGTGTATTGCGCGACACTCCCGAATTGCCTAT